TTACCTTTTTTTGAAGACTTGGATGCTGTGCCTTCTTTTTGAATGTCTTCACACTTTCGTTTCCTTTGAGTCTCTTTCTCCTTCAGCTTCTTCATTATAGTAGGATCATTGGCACTAACATGAACACGTTGGTGCCCACAGCGAGCTCTCATTGATTTAAACATTCTTTTACAGAAGTCACAAATAAATTGATCCACCTGCAAAGCACTTTCTTTCATTGATGGTCCATCTTCCACTAGTAAATGTGATTTAGAATCAATTGTCTTTTGATTATCACTCCCACTATAATGTTCTGTCACAATTGTTTCCGATTGTATCTCACTAATAGAGTCCACTGATGATACAGCAATTGTCTGCTCATCAACCACAGGCATAACAGATTTCAATGGGAGTGTTACATCAATACCTCCAGAATGTACTGCCAGTACATTCTGAGTCTGCAGTTTTTTTACAAGATTCACTTGTTGCATAGATGATTTAAATTTGTCTTTTGGAGATTTTATTCTTGTGTGTGATTCAGCCATACATGTAGCATCTTTTTCAAGCAATGACAGTTTTTCAGAAATTGGTTTTCCCTGATTCCACTGCATTTCATGACTTTCAGTCTGAATACCGTCTTTCTTGACTGGCATATTTGGCTTAGCAATAGTTTCTTCATGTTGTGGCTCTGTTACTGCAACAGTACTACCGATGTTGGTCACTTGTGATGTCACATATAACATATTTTTATGATTAGGAATACTTGACTGGCTTGATGTAGTTGGTGTCATAATACTTACCTTGGTACCAACTTGGCAAGTAAGTTTTTGAATAGGATTGCTGTGAAAAGGTGATGTGTTCTCCTTAATCATGTCAGTATTCATATTGGGTTTTAACATCTCAACTTGTGTTTTATCGTCAACAGATACATCTGATATTACTTGGTTAAAAGTAACAAATGCTTTCTCACATTCGGTGGCTAGTTTCGTCTTGTATGAACACTGGTGACACACGATGTATACCCATATGAACATCCAACAAATCCAGTGTCTTAAACTCAGCATTGCAATCAAGCTTACGGCAAGTGAATGGATTTGGGGCATGAGCCGGTACCAAATGTTTCTTCCTATTAGAGAAAAACAAATTGATTAAATGAAAGAGAGCTAAAAACTTTTAATGTGGCTCAAGGAAGTTTGAGTGAATTTCCACTTGTTATATACAATTGTATGTTAGGTCCTATAATGCATTGCACATATGTGCAGTAACAGGCTCAGTAACACACAATTTAATGTGGTACAAACTGCCTTAAAGTGGCCTAATTTGATGATTGTTTAATGTGTTATTGTTTCTAAACAAACTGCAAAAATCCTACATATTCATATTTAGACAAATTGTATCACAGTACTTACAACATGTCCTGGGTTCTGAATTTCTTGTCACAATCACTACATGTATACTTCTTGGGATGACTCAGCTGATGCATCTTAAGATTACTAGCATTCCAGAATAGCATGTCACATTCTGAACACTGGTGAGTATGGAAATTATGAGGAATATCCTTTCTCAGTGGTTTAGTAATTACAGATTTACCATTAGTAGCATTCATTGATCACCAACACCTTTTACACCAACAGTACCTGGAAATATTATGGATGATTATGCTGTAGCGATTATCACTTTCTTATTAAAAATAAAAATTCATTGAAGGCTATGATAAAATAGGATCTGTATTTTTCTCTGAATTAGATAGTGGTTCTTACCTGCAGTGCCAACATTAAGGGTGTTCAGTACTGAATCTGTATCAACTACACCCATAGACTTAATTTCAGTGCACACAGATGATGTACATCTGGAATTGCCAGGATTACTTTGAGCTGACCCAGTAAAACTTGACTGTATAAGAAAACACGGTGTTAGATAACTGTTATAGATTTGAATATGTGAAAAATAAATTACGAGTATGAAAAAACATATTATGTTCATTACCTGGTGGTTTCTAGGAAACCGTAGTTGATTGGAATTCATTTTTTCAATAGATATTAAAACGTATATACGCTGTAATCTGATGGAAAATAAAATACAAATATGTTACTATAATTTATAAAAGTGCAAATGTCACCACGATGAAACTCATGGAGTTTTATTACAATATTTTGTATCGACAGAAACATTACTAATACGTGTCGTCCACAAAATTGGTGGTTAGACATGCGAACAGTATTTTGGATGTATATTTATTATTGATAGAAATAATGAAGCAGATTCGATAATAATATTGAACTATGTCGTCTGCAAATGTCTGTCATTTCCGGTTAGAAACGAGTGGAAATTACACCTTTAAATCTCATAAAACATCGTCAAATTCTAGCACTACCCGTGACGCTACTATACTAGCGTGTGTGAAAGGCATAGTAAAATAATTCTTACCTTTTTTGAGTAAATACTCGGTATTTTTGTCTCTCAGTAAAATTGAGCACAAGTCCGACAGCATTTGCATTCGAACAGCTGTGTTTACATGTGAAGCAAGGTTAAACCGTGTCACTCAAAAAAGAATCAACGCGGAAGGAAATAGTTCACAAATGCAGTATTCATTTACACGTTTCGCAGAGTATTTAAATTTCTGTATTGCAACGTGTGACTATATACAGTGAATGTAATCAGAATATCCTTAATGTGTATTAAAATACTAGCATTACAGGAAATATTTAGTTTCCGTGCCG